AATACAAAATACATCTTTCTTATATTTTCAATATTTACAGATGAACATGAGTTTTCAGAGGGCAGTGAGGAGCATGATGATGCCCCTGATGCCCCTCCTGCTGTCCCTGCTGCTGTCCCCACTGATGCCCCTGCAGGACCTAGTGGTGTAGGCAGAGCACCAAGGGGTATGTAAATGACAGTTTTGATTGCATTTTATTGTATTGATGCATTGCTGGACCTTCACTAAAAAATGCTATTTGTTTTTGTCATGCAGGAAGAAAAAGGCCCAGGAATGTAAACAATGAAAATGAGGTGCATGAACGCCTCCTTGAGGCCCTGACACGGGGGTCCGGTGCTCTGCCTGCCCCACTCTCGGAGGATGAGCATTTCCTCCAAAGCCTGCTTCCTTCCCTTCAAAGACTGCCAACGCAACAGAAGAACTTTGTGAAGTTTGAAATACATAGATTAATTTATGAAGCAAGCACAGTTGTGCTAAATTTGGAATTTTTATAGATTACCTGCCATGGGTTGACAATCTTTGAAGGGAACAAACCAGGCTTTTTAAAAATATTTATAATCATTGTATATAGTTTATATTTAAATTGATAATAAAACTTTGTTTAATGTTACCCACGTATGTTCCTTTATTCTTTCGCCATCACATACTTTTCTTTAGGTTTCTTTATGGTCATCACATAATTAATAATGTAATTAAGGTGATTGTATTGTGCACAGTAGTGTAAAGTAACTTTTACTTGTAACAGAGTATTCCTAGTCACATATAATCCTTTCTAGAAATATAAGTGTCACATATAACAAAACCTGAGAGTGGAGACGAGGTGCGACAATATTAAAATCATTTATTTATATTTAAACAAATAAACGAAGCCAGCAATAGGTCCCCCGAGGCTGGCTAAGTCGCCCGTGGGGCGGAGCTAAAAATAACTCGCCAAGCAAATCCAAAATGTATAAAATACACAAAACAAAAAAGGAAATGTAATTAAAATTATCTACCCTATGAATTAACAAAACCTAAATCATAGCGAACTCTATCTACTTACTACAACTCTATATCTATCTAACACCCCTCCTCCCCCCACCCCCACAATGAATATCGACCAATCACGTTCTTGCTTGATTTGCGGGACCAGCGTTGCAGTCGGGAAGAAAAGCAATGTGGCACCTCCCCGCTGATTTCCCTTCTGGCAGAATCTACACAACACATCAGCCCCATTGAACAGCCTATCATGCAGCCTATACAGCACATGAGGGGCAGAGCTTTACTCTGTGTGCTGCAACTTGCATATATATTTATTGCACTTGACGCACACACACGCATGGCGTAATTTCCACCTGTGACAGGGGGGAAATGTCCCCCGCTCTTTTCGAAATCCCGTTTGTGTCCCGCCCACTTTACAAATATGTTTATTATTATTTTTTAACGCAAGCCGTCATCGCCACGGAGGAGCACACAGCCTCTGTGAGCGAGCGAGACAGAGAGAGAGAGAGCTAGGGAGGGAGGGAGGGAGGGAGAGAGAGCTAGGGAGAGCACACCTTTATCTATTTAATATAGATAAAGTCAGAAATCATTCCAATGTGTACTATAGGACAGTAAAAAAAACAAAAAACAGTTTGAAAGGGGAGTGATTAGTAAAATAAGCATAAATAAAAAGAAAGAATGCTAACTAGGTAACATAAGATAAGAATAAACCAGTTTAAATTATTTGTTATTGGTTCTGATCATATTCTAAAGATGTTTGGATTATTGAAAAGTATACAGCTCCCTTTCATCTGAGTGTTGAGAGCTGTATCCATCAATTCATGTTGTGCTCAAAGTGCTCCAGATTGATGCATTTCACTTCAACATTTAAAAATAATCTTCCCGGGGGTGCATGCCTCCCGACCCCCCTAGAGGAGGTGAGGACCCCCCTAGAGGAGGTGAGGACCCCCCTAGAGGAGGTGAGGACCCCCCTAGAGGAGGTGAGGCCCGTCCACCCCCAAATAAAGCAGGTTAAAATAATTAAATTGCATACATGTTCTTTTAGTAAACACTGAAAACGGGTCCCACAGACCCAAACAGCACACAAAGGTTAAAGGTCAGCATAAATATGCTAAATATATACACTGCAAAAAACTAAAAAAAGGAGTAAAAGTAGCCCCCGACTTGTTTTATCTTTTGAAAGTAGCCCTCACCCTAAAAAAGGTTGGTGACCCCTGCTCTACAACAAGCCGAGTTCGAGACAGACGGTAATTAAATATTCTGCGCTCTCTGCGAAGGTTGCGCCCAGGGAATGGCCTCATGAGGTTTTTCCTGAGAGGAAAGGCCTCATCTGCAACAAATACATGTGGCAGGGGTCCCAGGTGGTCACCTGCTGAGAGTGGCAGGCCAGCAGGCAGTTGGAGGGAGACAGATTTCAGGGCTTGATCAAGAGTTGGCCAGAATGCCACCATCACTAGTTCTTCCATAGCCCCCAACATCAATGACACGAAAGCAACGCTCTGCATCCACAACTGCCAAAAGATCAAGTGAGAATGTTCCTTTGTAATTAAAGAACTGGGATCCTGTGTTTTCTGGGGCTTTGAGGACAACATATTTCCCATCCAATGCTCCACAGCAGAGAGGAAAGTTCCACCGCTCCTCAAACTTCTCTGCTATTGACCTCCACTCCTCTGTAGAGGGCACAGCCATGAACTCCTCCACAAGGCAGTCCCAGATAGCAGTGGCCACATCAGGGATGATGGTAGAGACTGTTGAGACACCAACACGGAAGCTGTTGGCAATTGTCCTGAATGAATCTCCTGTAGCGAGGTACCTGCAGCACAAAAGAAAAGAAACATATATAAAATAAATCAAACAAAGTTGTATGAAGACATAACCTGAAAAAGTGGTGTAAAGTAACTAAGTAGGCTACATTAAATGGTATGTATTAATACCTTTAGTTATTTTACAGATGTGGATGAATGATGTGAAATATAATCAAGTGTTAAATCAGACTTTAGTTCCACCTGGAGTAAATTCACAAGCTACCCTGCAGTATACAAAGTCATTCAAACTATCATGATGGGAGTTATTTAAGCATCCCTTTTAAACGTTTATTATAATTAAATAATAACAACAAACAGTTCATTTTGATCCATAGTGCTGTGGTATTGATTCACCATGACGTGCAAGATTCATTCAATATTTTGTATTCATATTAACACGCTAATAAAAAACAAAGCAACTTACCGGAGACATATTGACGCTCCGCAGCTGAGAGGGAACGCCTGTAGTTTGTGTCCATCCGGGAAATCCTGACACCAACCCCGAGCTAGAAGATCATCAAACTGGACACAGGTCATCCTAAAATACCGCTGGAAACGGCAGTCATCCAGGCGCAGTTCCTTGATCAAACAATGATATTCACCAAACTGTGTGCGACGCTTGATTACATTGTGAACCCAGACAGAGCGGCGTTTGTTGCTACGTTTGTAGGACTTCCACAGAAGGTACAAAGCAGCAATAGTTGTTATATCCTCCATAGTCAACGACAGAGATAATCAAAACGATCTTGCATGGAAGTGTAAACAACCTCAACTGTCCGTCAACGGTATGTCTGTTTTGAATGACGCGATAAAACAAACTGCAAGCCGCGGTGAAACTTGAGCGATTGGAGCAAAGCGAATATTCGCATCGCGTCCGGTGTGAACGCAGCATAAGGCTGCGGCCCCACGGGAACGCATACGGTAGTTTCCGTTACAGTTTTGTCATATAGACCGTTCGGCCACACTAGGACGACAGAATATGGCAGTAAACGACTACGGTAACGATAACGGGTCCCGAGGTGGATAGAACGGCATACGCAACGCTCTGGGGGGGTCCAACCAAGCCCCCAGGAAGTGCACTGGACTCTGATGAGAATATTGGTGCATGGGTTATCATAAAACAACAAATTACCTAGGGTCAGTTTTGTAGAAGCCTGATAGTAAACTAGTTATGAAGTAATACATTTATTTATAACGCACAGTCTAAAAAAAAAGCTAAGCAAAGAGCTGTGTTCTCACCATGATGCGCAAGGGCAGCCAGCAGACCATTACCTCCTTTCCTCCCTACACACGGGCACACACAAACAGACAGGCAAAAACAAGTGTTAGCCATATCAGCGACTACGGGTAAATGCATTGCTGCTTCATGCTTTGTCAGTTTCAACATCTTACCTTCTCTACCCTTCTGTCTTTTATTCCGTTGTAGTTGAATATCTGCTGCCTTGAGCATTTTCTGCAGCCTGAAATGATGCAAATAAGAAGTTATTAACAAATGAAGAAAAGGTTTGGACATCCTCCAGAAGAATATTTGATTAATGACAAAAAGGAAGTTGGACACAAATAGGCCACATTGCAGATTAGCAATACGCTAACCTCTTCTTCATCCCTTCACCTGTGGTACTGCTTCACCTGTGGTACTGCTACACCTGTGGTACTGCTTCACCTGTGGTACTGCTTCACCTGTGGTACTGCTTCACCTGTGGTACTGCTACACCCATTTGCTACAGAGGTAGCAAGTCTTGGAGAGGAGGAGCGCTCTGTGGGCAAACCTGTGACAGATGTAAGAAAGTTAAATGTAAGTGACGGTAGAGACTGGGGCAGAGATAGCATCACAACCTCTGTGGGCTATAGATGATTTTTGCCCTTCATGTTCCTGATCTACAGACTTCAAATATGGAGTATGTCAAAATGTATTTTTGAATCAACTTAAATAACTTTCATAATATTTGTTGTTAGCGTCCAGCTGTGACTTTATGACAAATCACACCCTATTTATGGAAAGACGGTTTCCCTAAGATATCTGTGAATTGTGTTGTATTTGTATTTCTGTTGTATATGTAAAATTTCCTTGGGTTCCTTGAAAGGTACATTTAAATGACAAGTGCTATTATTATAAACCATGATGCCAGAGGGCAAATAACACTCAACACTCATTATTTAAAATGTAATGAATCACACAAACAAAACACTAACCCTTCTTCCTCTTCCCTGGCTGGGACGCAGCCGATGGTGAAGGGGGTGAATAGGTGCTTGCAGCTGGGACAGGGATGAGTGTCAGGGTGTACATCTCCTCGGATAGGTTTCCTACATAGAAGTAGAAAGAGTAGAATGGATGTACGCCACCTTCTTCAATTTACAGAACCTCCTATTTTACTGGAAATCGCGATGAACTATGCTGTGCTACTTACCAGAGGACTCGGTGGGGGTGTCTGCGGTGGCAATGACGACTTCTGAAAAAGAAAAGGTTACAATTTGTAAAACATACAACATACAAGTTGCTGTTAAAAGTGACAATGACTCTGAAGCTTACAAAAATAACACAAGTTTATATTACATCAAGTACAACCACTCCGTGCACACATAATCTTACCACAGAAAAAGGACACATTGGTCTCTAACCCCACCAATAGGAATGTCCTCATAAGTGATAATAAAAGTAATGACATTAAGTTCTTAGGCGTTATTTGACTCATTAAGCAGTTCAACCAATGTCATTTTGAATGGTCAGCTCCTGGCTGTTTATAACATTCTCATATAACAAATAATAGTCAGAAAACAATAAGAAGAGTGGTACAATAGACTTCTGCAATTACTTGATGTGGCAGGCGAGTTTTCCGCAGGAGGCTGTGGGGTTTCGGAGGCTGCTGCAGGCTCTGTATGACTCCAACCTAGATTAAAGAAAATAAGCTTTGGATAGCATCAACAACATCATGTAATTCACTAGTTCTCCCATTTGTATGCTTGATTTAAGGAAGAGGTGTAAGTTAATTGCTGTCAATTACCCCTATGGGCTCCTCCTAAACTTTATTAACAAAACGACATCTAAGTGTCTAAAACAATACCTTTCGCAACAACTTCAAATAACACCTCCATCCTTTGGAGGCAGGTGGAGGCAGGTGGAGGCAGGTGGAGGCATTGCTGCTGACATTGCACCTTGGCATCATTACTTCGCAGGTCCATTCCTTCTTTATTCCAGGCCGGGCTAGGAACAAGACGCCTCTGGCTCCAAGGGCCTGACATTTTTCCAGCTTCCAACAAACCAAAATATACCTTATTTCAGAACAATTATGCCCTGGTTATTTACAAAGGCAAAACCAGTTGTTAAACATAAATCACATAAACTGCTAGCACAAATATTCAACCCCTATGCAATAACAAAGACATTTTTTTTGATGCATGCATTAACAACTTGCGATCAGCAAGTAGAAGCTTTGAACATTATTCTGCATTGTATTTCTCTTGGCGGAATTTAGATAGATAGATAGATAGATCGTACTTTATTGATCCCAAATTGGGAAATTGTTTTTGTTACAGCAGCATAAAAGGCATTTTACAATAAAACAAAATATACAAGAATAGAAATAAAATAAAATAAAATATAAAATAAAATATAAAATATACATGTCAAAATACAAAATAGAAAATATACATACAGATATTATATATATATATATATATATATACAAATATATATATATATATTCAAAATATATGGAATTATGGAGTATTAAATATGAAACAGATTATGTGTGAGTAAAATGTACAAGGTGGTTTTATTTCTAGAGAAACTATGGAGCAGACAGTTCTCTTCCAGCCAGAGGTGATTTGTTGTACAGTGTTATTGCAGTGGGCAGGAATGTTTTCCAGTATCTTTTACACTGTATATATCATCTAGGTTTGTGGAGTAGCACTGTGGTTTATGAACAGTGCCACAGATTCTAAGTGGGATTAAGTTTAGAGCCATTCTACTACATAAACGTCGCTATTTTTGATCACCTGCAGTATGTTTTTTAAGTCTTGTGCTTGGGGTAATTGTACTACAAGAAGGTGAGTATTCACTTGGATGCCTTACAAGTATACTAGATGTTCTGCTGTTGCGCACAGGCTCAATCACAGTGTTGAGATAATATATCTATCTCTAAAGTACACTGGAGTATTTATAGGGGTTCTGTAAGATATAATTGATTATGGTATTCATAATTAGGTTTCCATTAGTGTATAATCACCTATAACTATTTTTTGTTGTGATTAGCTTAGAATAAGCCCTTCATATATACATAGGGAGCCGGTCTCTTTCACTCTCTTCTCTTTGCCGTGTTACTACAGTACTTCAATCGGAAGAAAAAAAACACTGGCTCTAGAGAAGGCCTTTCATGTTGTCATGGCAATGGATGGCCACTGTAGGTTCTTGTACACGCTTATAAAGGGAGAGGTACTCAGTTGGTTGCAATTTAGAAACCTCACTATTACACAGAGTACCTTTCAATTACATTGAATCAAATTCAGCGATGATTCGCCAAAGTTAAATAAACATAACTTATCCCTGTGTCGACAGTAGTTGTATTGACAGGGAGCAGACACACTGATGAAAATGTCTATTTCGAATGTAAGTTGAATTGGATAAATGATTAAATAGTGCAAATGTATTTTGCTGTGTTCTGACACAGTGCTTTAAAACTTGAATGCACATATAGTCACATTTTTTTTGGGGCACACAGTTCATGCAGGTCATGAAATTTGCATCATGTGCACCAGCTCAAAGCCCATTTCTACCTAGGGCTTTGAGCAGCAGATTTGTATTACGTAATTATGATCAGATATGGTCAGATATTACATTTCTGTATCAAATGTAAATATTTTTTCCAAATCCAGAATGAACAAGTACAGGGCTGTTATTAATTATGCATGCAGGCCAACAAAAAAAAAAGTCCATCACATACCACCAATGCAGCTTGATCCCTCAGGTGGGATGAAGTTTTATTCTTTTTTTGTGCATGGACCCAGGTGTTTGCTTTCATATCAAACTTGTCCATTCGTTTGCTAAGGCGCAGTTTGCGGGGCTGCACCGCCTTGCAGAATTTGCAAGTTTTGTATGCCACATTCAGTGACATGCAGCAGCTTGAGCATTGCCTCGAAGTGGAACCTGGTCCTGGCATTCTTTTGGAGATAAAGACAAATAAAAGACAAGGTCATTTAAAAACTGGGTTTCAAATTCAGAATGCAATCAAATACAAATATTGACTAATTTTCCTTTGTCTGTCACTGTAAGTCCATCCCCAAGCTACAACAAAAACGGTATCCTGTTTAGAATAGAATAAAAACACTTGCATTTTTATTTAATTTTAGTAAATTAATTTAGTATCAATGCAATAATGACCCCTTACTTAGTTTTAGTACAATTTCAAAGCAATGCTAAAATTCAGCGGTAAAATATTATGTACTCGAAAGTAAGGTTACACAACTTCTACTATCTTACAAGCTTGACCATGACATTGTACTGTAAAAGCACAATCTTGAATTTGACGAAAATATATGATAATGTTAATCTGTTGAAATCCTATATATAAAATTATATTTATAATATAATCTAGAATTATAGCAGTACTACAGTATAATACGCTGCAACGTCGTCTGTGTTACCAGCTCGAATAAGACAATTTTTAATTTCCCTGTAAGTTTTGCATAACAAAGACATAAATATATGACACTGTTAGTCGATTGTAATGCTATATTTAAATCGTGAAAAGTTTAAGTTCTTACCTGTGGGCACAACTACCCGTGTGTGTGTGTGTGTGTGTGTGTGTGTGTGTGTGTGTGTGTGTGTGTGTGTGTGTGTGTGTGTGTGTGTGTGTGTGTGTGTGTGTGTGTGTGTGTGTGACAAAAGAGAAAGTGGTAAAGAGACAGAGATGTAAGAATGGGGAGAAGACAGGAAGAAATGTAGGGAATATAGCTCTGTGGAGGGAGACCAGAAGAAATAGAAAAAGGCTCTTACAAGTGCTGTTTGATCTTGCTTTGGTTTGGAATCTGTTGAAGGAAAAAAATACAGTTAACACTTTTGAATGCATGACAATTTACAATCTCACATATCATGAACAAGCTTTAACATTGGGGGTAATTTACGAGTTAAAGCACTAATCAATCAGGGGCGGACTGGAACAAGGACAGCTCTGAACGTTTTGTCCTAAATAGGACCACAACAATCAGCGTGCAGTAACAGTCTGTAGACTGTTGTCATGACATTTCTTCACAATACTATTAGTTGCCACTGTATGCAAGTATGACAGCCACAATAGGCATTTTTCCAAGCTTTGTATATACAGTGCCAAAAGTATTTAACTCAACATTTTCTTACATTAACTTTTTTTCCAACACAGCATTTATATTGTTAGCAGTTATGTTTTGGTGTACTTCTAAAGGTAATTAGTTATTTGCTCACTGTCAATTTATTGCCATTTATTTATCTCAATTTAACAGCTAACCTTAGAGTGGCGTTAAGTTGGCGTGACGTTAAAGTCGTGCGACCCTGCTGTACTCGTCTGTAGCATAACGTTAGCATTTTGCTTCTGGCCATTAGATTTATGATTTGAAAATTATAAAAGTAGGGTAGATATGTGGAGATTATCCGGCTGAACAAAACGTGCATTTATCAACAGGTTCGTTTTCCACAGATCTTATTTCGAGCTATTTTCCAAAATCCTCTGGAGAAATCCCATTGGCTCTGAGACGAGGGAACCAATAGTTGTAAAATGCTAACTCACTTCTGGGTTGTAGGACTCATCACCGCACTATATCTCCGGTCAAGTAAAGCTAATATGTGTTTAGCTAGCTCGTGCTTAAAAAAAATATGTAACTACAACTGATTTACTTGCAATAAACATTACAAATATTGGAGGCATGCGGTGCTGCACATTACCTGCTTGGCGAAGTCAGACAGAGAGGAAGTTGTTGCCGATGTCCGGTGCGTTCATGGTCATGGATAGTAATCGGTAGCATGGTGTTCACTTACTACGCGATCGCACAACGTAACGTACAGTAATTCCACAACCACAAAAATGGATTAACATCGATTTAGCTGGGGCAACAAAAATAAATAAATGAATGAATCTACTGGTTTCATAATTTGAACCAAAATTGATGCATTTTGCACAATTTTTTTTATTTCTTTTTTTATTATGTCCTATTTATATTATGTTGCACTGTTGGAGGAGCTCGGGGTCTAAGATTTTAAATGCCAAAATTACACTGTAGCTAGCATCTGATAACAAAAACCCTTGAACCTTGAACCTTAGTGGTGTTTATTTTTCACGGAGTTCAGTTGCTAAGCGATCATACAACGTCACGTCCGGTATTTCCACAACACAAATGGATTAATGTAGCCTTTGTTTCTGCTAAAAGAGGTGTCGACCAGCTAGGGCCACAAGAAAATCGGCGAAATCGAGTGTGACGATTAAAAAATAAATTAAAAACATCTAATTTTGACAATAAAAACCGACCAATAGGCGCGGTAGACCATTTGCTTGGCACTTCCGGGTATTTCTCCATGTTAACATACCGTGTAACTGTCACGTTTGAAGGGGATTAACATCGATTTAATACATTAATGTAGCCTTTGTTTCTGCTAAAAGAGGTGTCGAACAGCTAGGGCCACAAGAAAATCGGCGAAATCGAGTGTGACGATTAAAAAATAAATTAAAAACATCTAATTTTGACAATAAAAACCGACCAATAGTCTTGGTAGAGCATTTGCTTGGCACTTCCGGGTATTTCTCCACTGGTTGGGCCATGTTAACAATACCGTGTAACTGTCACGTTTGAAGGGACGAAACCGTGACATATTCACGTCTCCCAGCATGGTAGATCGTCACATGTTCACGTCTTGCCGTGATACCG